ACACCCAGGGGGAACTAGAGCTCAGCGCAAACTATGGAGTCTGCACGTTCTCTGGGCCAAATTATGAAAGCCTCAGAAGAGGGATAGGACATAGTTCAGCTTTGCAGAGTGCTTACCCAGCTTGCACTTTTGGGTTTGATGCCCAGCAATGAATAAAATAAATAAATAAATAAATAAATAAATAAACCAGGTGTGATGGCGCATGCCTGTAATCCCAGAACTGCAGGTAGGGGTGGGAGGGTGGGGGGTAGAGGCAAGAGGATCGGAGCCAGCTCGGAATATATGAGACTCTGATTTAAAAAGAAGGGGAACGGAAAACGGAGAGGCCGCGGTAAGTGCTGGTGGTACCCCTGCCGATGTGGTGATCTATGGGGCTTTTTCAGCGTGGTCACATTTGTAAAATGGGTTTAAAACAATATTTTGAGTAGCGATTTCGCGCCTGTAACGGGTATTATTTGCTAGGGAATTTCCTCCGATGTTTGGAGCACACTAATTGGTTAACCCACAGCTGAGTCTGGGTGCTTTGCAAGCTCCGCTGTGTGGTTGCTAAGAGACGAAGATGTCTCTGAATTCCTGTGATCAGCTCGGCGAAGAGAGGCCGGCTCTGCCCGCTAGACACAGCGCCACCAAGCGGCGTCTCTCAGACTGCGCCCGTGCTCTCTGGCCTTCCCTCTCCGACGTTCCAATTAAGAGAACAAAGGCCCACTGAGTATCCTTCAAGGTCGGCCCTCTGCAAGGACGTTTATTTTCCAACAAATGAATGGTGAGAGACACTAATTGTCATATTTATTTGAAAATAAAGTTTCTGGGGGGTGGAGAACCATAGCAGGTGTGTATGGAGGTCAACTTTCAGGAGCTGGCTACTTCCATCCAGGGACAGAACCCAGATCTTGGGCTCGGTGGCAAGCACACACTGAGCCCCCTCACCCACCCAGTTTGTCCAGAACGGTAGATTACCCCCAACTTTACTTATTGGCCTGATTTCAATATTATAAAGGGAGAGAGACTTCTAGTGTTCCTTCTGCTCTGGAAAATGCATATTTAATTTAAATTGTTATTTTATGTATTTACTTTTTAGGAGACAGTCTCACTTTGTAGCCTAGGCTGGCCTGGAACTCTCAGCTATGTAGTCCAGGTCTTCAGCCTCCTAGGACCCAAAGCATGAGCCTAAATCTTTTTTATTTTTAGATGGGGGAGAGGGGGCCGGTCAGGACTAACCCAAATGCCTTACATGTTAGACTATCACTTTCCATTGAGCCGTATCCTCAGCTCTCTTTCTTTTTTTTAATTTTAAGGGAGTCCTGCTGTGGCCGGGCATAATGGCACATGATTTTAATCCCAGCACTCTGTAGGCAGAGGCAAGCGGATCCGTATGACTCTGAGTCTAGCCTGGTCTACATAGTGAGTTCCAGGACAGCCAGCGCTACAAATGAGACATACCTCCATTCCACTATTCCCGAAAAGTTAAATTTAAAAGATAAGACAGTAAAATTAGAATAAAGCCGGGATGGTGCTGCAAACTGGTGTGACCCCAGCATTTGGGGGGCAGAGGCAGGAGGGTCAGGAGTTCAAGGACAGCTTGTCTTTATAGAAAGTTCTAGACCAGCTTGAGCTACAGGAGACAAAAATCAAGGCCAGGTTCCACACACGTCTTTAATCCCAGCATTCAGGAGGCAGAGGCAGGTGGATCTGAGTTTGAGTCCAGCCTGACCCACAGCCCAAGTTCCAGGACAGCCACAGATACACAAAGAAACCCTGTCTCAAAAAATCAAAACCAAAATAACAATGAAAATAATAAATAAATAAATAAATAAATAAATAAACAAATAAATAAAACCCCCAAAATCCATAAATCAATAAAATAGGGGCAGGTGTTAGTTTTTTTGTCAACTTAACACAAGCTAGAGTCATCTGGGAAGAAGACCCTGAATTGAGAAAATACCTTCATCAGACTGGCCTGGGCTATTTTCTTTATTGATGATTGACATGGGAAGGCCTAGACCACTGTGGGCAGTGCCACCCTGGGCTGGTCATTGAACTGAGTAAGCCATGGAAGCAAGCCAGTAAGCAGCATTCTTCCCTGGGCTGTGCTTCGGTTTCTGACTCCAGGTCCCAGCCCTGACTTCCCTTCATGATGGACTGTGAGGTTTGTAAAATGAAATAAATCCTTTCCTCCCCAGGTTGCTTTTGGTCATGGTGTTTATCACAGGCACAGAAGCAAAGTAGGAGAGCTGCTGGGCTTGCTGAGTGAGCCTGGCATGAGTGTGCACACACACATCATATATACACACAATAACAATAATAAAGTTTAAATAAACAGGGTCCAGAGAGATGGCTTAGCAATTAGAGCACTTGCTGCTCTCGCAGAGGACTGGCGTCGGGTTCCCAGGAGGTTCTGATGCCCTCTCCTCTTCTCCGCAGGCACTTGTACACTTCTACAACACACACAAACACACTACAGTCTTTACAATAAGTGCCAGGTGGCGGCACATACACCTGTAATCCCAGCACTCGGGAGGCAGAGGCAGGTGGGGATCTCTGTGAATTTGAAGGCAGCCTGATCTACAGTGAGTTCCAGGATAACCAAGGCTACACAGAGAAATCCTGTCTCGAAAACCAAAACAAACAAAAATAAATAGAACAAGTAGAAGGGAGCTTTCTGCTTTAAAGTCTGAACCATGAAATGCAGAGGCCAAGTGAGGCAAGCCTCTGACTCATTCCAGAGACATCTGCCAAGCGTGCAAAGAGGGGGACAGAGGGAAACACAAGGTCTTGTCCTTTGAAGGGAGCATCTCGACCTAAAGCATTTCTGAAGGTATTTTGTTGTCGCCCGCTTTTGAGGACAGGCTCACGACATGACCCTGCTGGTCTGCAGCCTACTGTGTAGACCAGGCTGACCTTGAAATTCCAGGTCCTCCTGCCTCCGGAGTGCTGGCCAGGGTGCGAGCGCGTCCAACCTCTGCAGATGATCTTAAAGCAAATATCTTATTGTTCTGTTTGGGTTTTGTCTTGGCTTTTGAGACAGTCTCTCACTAGGTAGTCTTGGCTGACCCGGATCTTGCTATGTAGACCAGGGTGGCTTAAACTCGGGGCTCTGCCTGTCTCTGCCTCCTGAGTGTTGTGATTTAAAGTGAGTGCCTGCATTGCTGTCTGTTGTCACATATACCAAACTCAGTCTTGTCTTATTTCCTGGTGTTTGTGAGACTAACTTCTGGATCTCAAAACATTCAGTATCAGAGGTTGAAGAGCCAATCTATGGCCAAGAGAAAGGTATGAGCCAGCATCAAACTCCATCTTGATGTCATCTTTACAAGGTCGCGATCAGGCCCACAGGGCACGTCTTGGTGGGGCTGCTCACGTCAGAAGTCTCTGAGGGGACTTCTGAAATGGTAAGGAATGAGCCACAGGAGGAGGGCCTGAGTCAGAATGCCAGCTGTCACATTCCAACCTAACAAGCTGCCTCACATGAGAAGTTCCAGTCTCCTCATCTGGTAAATAGAGACAATTATGAACTCATCACAGGTGAGGCTGAGGCAAGAGTGCCTTGACTATGTAGTCAGTCTGGGCTATAAAATGAGACCCAAACTAAAGAAACACAAATAAAACCCATAAATACATCACGGAATGGTTGAGAGGATGAGCTAATACATAGATTGCTAAGCAATGAGTTATTACATGCGACTTGTTAGTTAGCCCATGAAAATGCAAACCAAGCTTGTCTGTAAAGCCCTTATTTCATTAAAATAAATTCCTTGTGTTGTATTGTCTTTGAGACATAGTCTTACCTGTGTACCCAAGGATGACTTTGAACTTCTGATTCTCCTGCCTTCCTCTCCAAAGGACTAGAATTATGAGTGTGTGCTATATCTATATGTTCTAAAGGTATTAGTGCTAGATTTCAAATAATGTGCACCTGGGAATAAAGGAGCCAACTCCTAAGTCACACAGGAGTCTGAGTTTGGAAGCAAATCATGGTTCATGCTAGGGAGACAGAAGAGAAGGATGTCTGACGAGATGACCTCATAAGGCTGGAGGGATGGCTCCTCAGTTAGGAGCACATGTCACTCTTGCAGTGGACCCGAATTTCACCTCAGCACCTGTTGGGTGGCTGACAACAGTCTGTAATTTCAGTCCCAGGGGATCCAATGCCATCTTCTGGTCTCTGTGGGCACCCTCCCCCACAAACACGTAAGTGAATGGTTATTTTTTTTATTATAATTACAATAAAAGGCCTCGTGTCCAAATTTATAGGAGAAAAAGAAGTCAAATCTTGCCCTTGTGCCCTGGTGGTCACAGGCGGTCCAGGCATTTGAAGAGCTCTTTGTGAATTGCAGAGCTCAGAGAAATGTCATTCCTGTTTTTGGCTTGCTCCTTTGCCTGTATGACTTAGAGAAGGAAGGTAAGGGTCCTAGGAGCTCTGTGGATGGATCACAGTATGTTGGTGCACTGGTTTCAAGCTTACACCAGTAAGAAGGCTCAGGGGGAAGGTGCCGGTTGTTAAGCCCAATGACCCAAGTTCAGGCTCCAGAACCTACAGAGTGGAAGGTAAGGACTCCTACGAGCTGTCCTCCATCTCTACAAGTGCACCCCCCCACCACCAATAAATCAATAGTGGATATTCAAGGCTTCACCAGCTGCTTGGACTAAGGAAGGATAACAAGAGAAGGCAAGGAAGGTAGATGGCTGCAAGCATCTCTCCCCCAAAGAATGGTTAAACTCATCACAGGAGGCTTCCCCAGTCCCATTAGGCTCGGTGGATGGGCCCTGCCCCCCTTTCAGGAGGTAACATGCAAATGCATACAGGGTTGCTCGGCTGAGAAACACAAGTTCTTGAAACGTACTGCTTAACAAATTTCACTGGAATAGGAGGCCACAGTTACCAAAATTCACTAGAGAAAAGACAAAGACAAAACAAAGCAAGACAGAACCAACAATAGAAGAGTGTGCATACTGACCTGGTGCTAGGGCAAAAAGAGCAAAGTGTTTTAAATTTTTCTTTCACATTTATTTAGTGTGAGTGTGCACACACAAGTGCAGGCGGGACACAAAAACGTGTGTGGAGACCACAACTTGTGGGAGTTGGTTCTCCCCTTCCATCATGGGGGCTACTGGGATCTAAGTCAAGTCGGCAGGCGTGGTAGTGAGCGCCCCCACCCTCTGAGCCATCGTTCCCACTCAGGAAGAACTTCCAAACAAACCAACAGAGAGGTTTTTGCTTTTTAAAAATTTTGTGTGTAAAGGTGCTTTGCCAGCATAAGTGTCTGTGCACAAGCGTGTAGTGTTCCGAGAGGCCAAAAGAGGTCACCGACTCCCCTGAAACCAGAACTACAGGTGGCTGTGAGCTGCCATGTGGGTGCTGGGGTTTGGAAGACCAACCACTGCTCTTAACCACCGAGCCATCTCCAGCCCAGCAAAGAACTTTTCACGGGCATCTATCAGTGGGCATACTACTGACCAACAAGCTCCACAGGAACCACAATCAACAGTGGATGCACTTTACAAACAGACGGCCGAGTGAGAACTATGCCAATCCCTTCCCTCTTTATATATTTAAAGCTTTTTAATCTCTGGCACATAACAACAGTGAAAGAATTCTTAGAAATTAGACAAAAGTGTTTGGTGGGGTTGAATTGATAGGCCAGGCAAGCTTCTTTTCCCTGGCCTCTCGGTCAAATGAGTCATAGACGGAGTCTTTGGTTACCGTCCTGCTCACGGGAGGGATTTCTGAAATGCCGACATAGTTTCTTTTGGCCATCCTCGAGCTGGCTGTGATGGTGTAGGCATTGCTGCGGTAGCATCTCATCGAGGACATGCAGAAAGTCTCTTTCAACCCTCTCCGAAAATTGGCGTTATAAATTGAGTAGAGAGTGGGCTTCGAGGCTGAGGAGCTAAAGGACACCCACGTGACCGCTGTGAAGACAAGGGAGCTCTTCTTATAGTCTTGCTCGTGGGGGTGCCAGAGCTGAGCCACGTGGAAAGGCAGCCAGGAGAACAGAAAGACTACGTTCAAGAGGAGAAACATCTTAACGGTTCTCACCTTTGTCCTGGGGACGATGTTCATCGTCCTCCTCAGGGTCCGCCCATCAGTGCCTATTCTCCAGATGTATTTTATGACCTTCTGGTAGAATAAGATTATGAGGACAGAGGGAATCACAAAGCCCACCAAGAAGTGGATGACAGTATAAGCAGTTCCCTCCCAGGAGGAAGGGAGGAAGTAGTTACAGTGGCTGTCCCAGCTGGAGCCGTAGAAAAAGAAGATGGGGGTCGCAAAGGCTGCATCTAAGATCCAGGAGGCTGCGATCATCTTCTTGGCCTTTTCCCTGGACACCTTGAAGCTCAGCGGGTAGACGATGGTGTAGAAGCGGTCTGTGCAGATTGAGAGGAGCACGTAGATCTGGACACCTGGGGTAAGGTACTGGCAGTAGCGCACGACCTTGCACATGGCACTGCCGAGGGTCCACTGTCCCGTGGTGAACTGCAGCACCACGAAAGGCATGCTGGCCACACTGATGAGAAGGTCAGCACACGCCATGGACACCACAAAGTAGTTGGTGGTGGACTGAGTCCTCCGGCTCCTGTGGATGACCAGACACACCAGGGAATTGCCAAAGATAGAGAACAACCACAGAGCGCCGAAGAAAATGCTGGCTGTGGCCACCTCTCCAGGGCTCAGTCTATACCGAAGGTCTGTCCTGTTGCTCATCCAGCCGTGTTCCTCATGGAATTCCACCAGGCCACCGGGCAGCAGGGCCTCAGCTGCCTCCATGCAGCTGTGGTTCTGAAGGGGCACCAGCGGGGTAGCAGTAAGCACAGGCGGCTGGTCGTTCTCCATTCTGTGAGGAAAACCATAGCAGTCATTCTTTTCCCCTTAGTTCTAGATAAGACAAGAATGAAGCCTCCTGTTAAGATGCTGTCACGTAAGCTGGCTGCTAACGAGCCTAGTCTTTTTAGACTATTCATTGTACAGTACTGGATTTAATAGACATTTCATTCAAGCCAGTCATGTGCTTGACCACATTCGCCCTCCAAAACATCCTTTTCTTCCCTCTTGCTAGGCTTTCTTCTCCCAGACAATCTTGCTTCTGTCATGTCTGTCTCTGTCTGTCTGTCTGTCTGTCTGTCTGTCTGTCTGTCTCTCTCTCTCTCTCTCTCTCTCTCTCTCTCACACACACACACACCAATGATTTCATGTATCTATTCAAAATCTAGGATCCAGAGATGACAGAAAAACACTTGTCTGTGTCTGAGCTGTTTTGTTGCTAGGCTCTCCACCTCCATCCACTTCACTTTATTCTGTATGGCCGGATGGACTCTACTTTGCTCCGTATGTATCCCATTTTCTTTATTCATCTGCTGGCTGATTCTGTATCTTGGCTGTGGTGAGCTGGGTTGCAGTGAACACAGATGTGCAGGTAGCTCTGTGTGTATTGCCCAGGAGTGGCAGAAAGACTCCACTGTATAGACACCGAGCTCGGAGGTCAGTTGTCAATGATTAAAAACATACCCACTAGGCTGGGTGTGGAGAACTCCGTGAGTTCCAGGACAGCCAGGGCGGTGTAATGATCCTGTCTCAAAAAAGGGTAAAGGGAGAAGAAAAAGAAAGGGGGGGGGGGAGTGGGAAGGAGGAAAGGAGGAAGGATTCTCAAAAAGACAGGGGATAAAAAAATCCCAGTAAAACAGCACAGAGACAAATTCAGAGGGCAGGCTTCTGGGCTGATCTTTGAGGCCCCATTATCTTATCCTTAGACACACAGTCTCCTTCAAACCATACCTCCTCTTATCCTTTGTGTGTGTGCACATCTGTGTGATATGCATTTGTCTGTGTGTGGACATCAGTGTGTCTTCCTCACTCACTGTCCTCTGTATTACGTTTTAAAATAAATGTGGGTATGAGTAAGCTGTAACCTCCACACATTATCTTAAACTTAAATTTTTTTTTTTTAGATTTATGTGTATGAGCATTTTTCCTACTTGTATGTATGTGCACTGCATACATGCCTGGTGTCTTCAGCAATCAGAAGAGGGTGTTGGATTCCCTGGAACTGAACTTACAGGCAGTTATAAACCACGATATGTATGCTGGGAACCAAAGCTGGGGTATCTGCATGAGCAACAAATGCTCTTACTACTGAGCCATCTTTTCAGGCCCTCCACTGTAGTTTTTGACATAGGCCTCAGACTGGCTAGCTAGCATCTCCTGAGGTCCTCCTGCCTCCGCTCTGCACCAGAGCTAACAGGACCATTCGACAGTGCCCAGCCCTTCAAATGGGTCCTAGGAGATGAAGTCAGGCCCTCGCACTTGCTGTCCGACGCTGACTGAGCCACCTTCCCAGCCCCCAGAAGTATCTATTCAGCAGGTGCTTTGCAACCGAACTGACCTAAGACTTCCGCACACTGACAATCAAGGGCTGTATTTTGCTGTATTTTCTGCACTCATGGGCTGAAATGTGATTGGATAGTCGGTTAGCCTGTCCAGAAAGGCTGTGGTGCCCTGTTGATTCTGCACTTAATCCTTCACTAAGTTTTCCCTAGCTTAGCAATTCACTATAATCTTCCAGAAACCTCTAAAATATACTGATTTCTGGTCCCCCCTCCCCAGCGCCGGGATTTTAATTTAATAAGTTGGGAACATAGAAGGCATCAGGATGTTCCAGAGACCCCCAGGCGACGATTAAGGAACACAACTTTAATGGCTTTCTATGCTTCTGTCTCTGCCCACTGAACTCTGGGCTCTGGAGGAGGCATTATTCTTTTCTCCAAGCCTCACAGTCTAACTCAAGAACTTTGCATTAACAATTGCTTGTTAAATATTAACTGAATTGGACCCATAAGCAAAGGGAACTTTAACAAACTCCTCCCACCCATAGCACTGCTAGGAGGATTCAATGGGAGCAGATGGAAGATCACTGTGTCCTCAGGGAGCTGAACACCAATAACTGTAGGAACAGAAGAAAACACGGTGCTGGAAGACAGGGCTGGGACACGGTCACCCGGTTCCACTGCCACACTAGGGCAGAGGACGACAGCTTAGGGGCCCACAGACAGGTCTACCCCAAAGCAGGGAAAAGCCTGCTCCTTGTCATCCTGGCGTTCCAGAGTAAAAGTTCTCAAAGGCTTCTGCTAGTGTAGAAATAAAGCCTTTCAGGGGGAAAAGAGGGGGGAAAGGGCCATTTAATTAGTGACTATGTCTAGAGTCATCTATACATGGTCATTTTAGAAGTGACAGATACTATGTGAAGTTATGTTAACTTAAATATTCCTGTCTAGCTGAACAAATAATCCCAAAGTTAGGCTCTGTTGCCTTGTAGTACATTAACCAGTTTTGTGCCTAACCAGCGGACACTGTTTTAATGCTGACATTTTTTTAAATGCCTCTAAATCTGCATTGCTTCAAATGCTCTTAGAAGCAACCTTATCTCAGCATCTTGTAGTGATATTTTGTGTTTTAACAAATAAAACTTGCCTGAACATCAGAGTGCAGAGCTGCCACTAGCGACCAGGGAATGGTGGCACACACCTTTAATTCCAGAACTCGGGGAGAGAAAGGCAGAGGGATCTCTGTTAATTCAAGGCCACCCTGGTCTACACCAGATTGAATCTGTCTAAAAGAGAAAGAGCTCAACACAAAAGTGATTCCAGTTACTTGGAATCCCACACCTTTAATCCCAGAGCTATGCAGGTGGAGACAGGTGCCAGGATATGGTTGGGCAGAAAGAGGAGACGAGACAAGGATATAGTTGGGCGGGAGGAGATAAGAGCTCAGTGCAGCCTAAGGATGCAATCTGAGGACAGTCTGAGCACTGATAGAGGTAAAATGTCTCTCTAGAGGCTGGCACACTGCATCCTTAGACAAATGGATGGATGGATGGATGGATGGATGGATGGATGGATGGATGGATGGATGGACGGACTGACTGATGGGCAGATGGAGGACTGGAAGCTAATAAGATGAAGAGAAGGACCACAAAGAGAAGGATTCTTGGATGTGGTGACACATGCTTTTAATCTAAGCACTAGGGAGGCAGAGACAAGTGGATCTCTGTGAGTTCAAGGCCAGTCAGATCTGTAAAATGAGACCCTGTCAAAAGAAAAAAAAAAAACCAAGAGGGGCACACATGATGAACTTTGTGCACTGTGGAGGGCTCACCCCAGCTAAGCTGACCAATAGCTAGTTAGTTTCTATACCATGCAACGTCACTCCTAGGAGTTTTAAAACTCTAGTAAAGGGAGCTAGAAAAATACTCAGTAGATAAAGTGCTTGCCACACAAGTATCGGAAGGATGCATATAAAACCTTAGACCTCCAAAACCCATATAAAACTTGGTGGGCATGGAGGCCTGGCTATAATCCCAGCACTTGGGAGGCAGAGATGGAATTTTTAGGACAAGCTGGTCAGTTGGACTAGCAGCATCAGCAAGCTCTGGTTCAATGGGAGACCCTGTCTCAGTAAATAAGGCAGACCAGAGAAGACACTTAATGTCAGTCTCTGGCCTCTCCACACATGCATGTATACCATATACACACACACACAAAAAAAAACACCACTAACAGTTGACATTTACCTGAGAGTCCATTCTATTCCGTTCCAAGCCATCATTGTTTAAGGCATTTCTCTTTTTATGTACAGCCAATACAAGCACACAGTAAAAGGAATGGTTAAAGAAAAAAAAACTACCAGCATAGTATTTTCTTTAAAAAAATGTTTTATCTTACATGTGCAGTTGTTTTACTTGCTTGATTGTGTGTGTGTGTGTGTGTGTGTGTGATGTGTGCAGTCCCCAAAGAGACCAGAAGAGGGCATCATAGCCCCTGGAACTTATAGAGAGATGTCTCGGTAAGTGTGAACTTATAGATAAGCCACCACGTAGGTGCTGGGAACCAAACCCTGGGTATCTGCAAGAACAGAAAGTGTTCTTAGGCACTGAGCCATCTATCTAACCACACCACAGTATTTTCTAAAATTTTAAAACAGAGACCAACTTTTCCCTCTCTTCATTTGAGCCTGTGTGTAGCCTTCAGAAAGCAAGTCAAACAGACCATACTGAGTTTGTAGAATGTGTAGTCCTTTATACTGAAGTTCTCCAGACCAGGCTGCCTGTGCCGTGTTCAACCTGGATGAGAGATTCTGTCTCAAAAACCAAAAAACTTAAAATAAAAAATCAATCTTAGCTTAGGATTGTCAAAATGCTAGTTTTTTACATAACTTAGTTTAGAATGCTTCTACAGAATAGTAATATGGACTGCAGCACCTAAGGTCATTCGATGACAGTGGGGCTGTGACAATATTAGCATCACCCACAGGGTGCATAATCCTCGGGGGCAGATGATATTGCCAGCTGGTTTTATCAGGGAAGGGAGCCTGAAGCTTTCCCCTAGACCACACAGTTGGAAACAGTGGTCACTTTGGGTTTCTTGCTCCATCTGGGTGAGCTTCATGTACACGGAGACCACAGGGGCTTGACCTGAATCTAGAGGGTCACACAGGCTGTGCTTGGAGGCCTTTCTGGACTCCTCATCCAAAACTAGAAATATCAAGTTATTCCCAACAGCCTCTCGCCTACCCACAGATAGCATCTTTTCAACTTGAACGCTAAAATTTGTGATATGTCCATCCCTAGCTGAGGAGCTAGTGACAGCTGATGGCTGCTAGAGGAGGCAGTCAGTTTTCTTTATGGATATGATCCCTGGTTGGTTGACCATGCTCCACTGGATGGCCCCACAACCACGCATATACAGGCAACACAAATTAGACTCAGTGAGTTAAAAAAGAAAGACAGGTCAGGCATGGTGGTATACCCTTCAAACCCAGCATTATGACCAGAACACACAAAAACATGATTTTGAAAGACAGAGGTGAAGGGGGAGATTTACAGG